CTGACACCTCTAGCTTAAAATTCACCATTACTAAAGGATCGATAGGCCACGCTTTCACGGGTGGTATTCATACTGAAAATCAAAATCAAGTGAGCTTTTACCCTTTTGTTCTACATGAGATTTCTGTTCTCATTGAGCTCACCTTAGGACACCTGTGTTATCATTTAACAGATGTGCCGCCCCAGCCAAACTCCCCACCTGACGATGTCTTCCACGTAGCTCACCCAGGCAGAAGCAAAAAAGCAATTAAAAGAAAATGTTACTCAAGGTCAGCCGATGTCGCAGACAAACTACGAAGTGCACATTTGGGAAAGTGCTGATGCCAACTGATTTTATCACAGTAACATGATCAATGGAGAAGCAGGGTATCGATCCATGTACCTCTCGCATGCTAAGCGAGCGCTCTACCATTTGAGCTACATCCCCAGGACAGCACCACAAGCGCTCTACCTAAATACAATCCTTGTACTCAACACCACACCAAACACAAGCTACACACAAAAACACATCAACACGCCAAAGCGCAATAAACGCACACGCATTGATTTGTTGAACAAACGAAGCGATATCAAACACCAGTCACCACGCATCTTCAGCATCTTCTCCGACTCCTCGCGGTTGTCGCTCACTGTATCCAGACATCTTTGTGGGGCGCCAGTGGTGCCCCTGGTTTGCTTGAATACTCAACATTCTTGCCATTTTCTTTTTGAAAGATAGTGTTGTTGATCGTCAACGCCTGGTTCGGCAGAACGCTTGCGCTGGTGTTTGCTGGTATTTGCTGCTATCAATGATGTCAGTCTGATACAGCTCAGCACTAACCCCAGAAGCAATAAACTGTCAGCGACAAGCATAACTTATTGGTGGTATTCAGGCAGCTAGTAGATGGACGGAAGTGTCACGATGTCATGGCAGAATCAAGGAGCGTGTCAAAGGATTAATCGATAGACAAACAACGGAACGCCAATACAAGCGTGTCGTGGAACCGTCAGTGATATCAACGGGAGACGATCAGATGGACGATAGACAGGACGGCAGGCAAGAAGCAAAAAGCAATTAAAAGAAAATGTTACTCAAGGTCAGCCGATGTCGCAGACAAACTACCAAGTGTACATTTGGGAAAGTGCTGATGCCAACTGAATTTATCACAGTAACATGATCAATGGAGAAGCAGGGTATCGATCCCTATACCTCTCGCATGCTAAGCGAGCGCTCTACCATTTGAGCTTCATCCCCAGGACAGCACCACAAGCGCTCTACCTAAATACAATCCTTGTACTCAACACCACACCAAACATAAGCTACACACAAAAACACATCAACACGCCAAAGCGCAATAAACGCACACGCATTGATTCGTTGAACATACGAAGAAATATCAAACACCAGTCACCACGCATCTTCTCCGACTTCTCGCGGTTGTCGCTCACTGTATCCAGACATCTTTGTGGGGCGCCAGTGGTGCCCCTGGTTTGCTTGAATACTCAACAGTCTTGCCATTTACTTTCTTAAAGATAGTGTCGTTGATCGTCGACGCCTGGTTCGGCAGAACGCTTGCGCTGGTGTTTGCTGGTATTTGCTGCTACCAATGATGTCAGTCTGATACAGCTCAGCACTAACCCCAGAAGCAATAAACTGTCAGCGACAAGCATAACTTATTGGTGGTATTCAGGCAGCTAGTAGCTGGACGGAAGTGTCACGATGTTATGGCAGAATCAAGGAGCGTGTCAAAGGATTAATCGATAGACAAACAACGGAACGCCAATACAAGCGTGTCGTGGAACCGTCAGTGATATCAACGGGAGACAATCAGATGGACGATAGACAGGACGGCAGGCAAGAAGCAAAAAGCAATTAAAAGAAACGTTACTCAAGGTCAGCCGATTTCGCAGACAAACTGCCAAGTGCACATTTGGGAAAGTGCTGATGCCAACTGATTTTATCACAGTAACATGATCAATGGAGAAGCAGGGTATCGATCCCTGTACCTCTCGCATGCTAAGCGATGTTGGTAGTGATAACTGGATAATACATTGGCCAGATCCTACAACCTAGTGAGCTTTTCCTTTACTTGTGCCGATCCGACAGGTTAACCGAATTTACTACTTGGTCGGTTACACCCTAGGGGCTCTCAACTTTCAAGATCCCGTCACAGGAGGCGGCAAGTACGACGCAAAGGAACTACAAAGGCAAAGGAACACACCCGCAAGGCAACCCTACGGCCAGATCCACGATCTAGGCCCCGGATCCATAAGCTCGAGTATTCGCTTAGGATACGGAACCATCCACGGACGCAGAGTGAGGATTTTCCACTGCTGCTCCACCCCATCCCCACGTCTCGCCAAGACACTCAAGCTTCACCACTTGAACGCTTCGGAAGTTACCGAGAGAGCAAGATCCCGCCCTACCGACGGGTACACAAGGTGAGGAAAGTTCAGCAGAACACGGATCATCGGGGGACCCCCTCCGTTAGTCGGTGTCTGGGTGCAGTTGGTAAGCTGGATCCGGCAATCTCGCAGATTTTGCTGATCCCGCTACACCACAATGGTGCGCGTGCCCGGATCTTTTGGTGACTCGGGATTTCACCGTGAGTCCCAAGAAGATGCTCAAGTGAAGATTGAGCCAGGGGAAGAGGCGTCGTCGGAGGTCGGATCGACGAAGACGCTGCTGAATGAAACAAGATCCGCGGATCGATGGAGTTTTGGGAGGAACTCTGTCGACGGAAGAGAGGTGGATCCGGATCCGGATCTAGAAGAGAAACCTCTCTATCCTCCCCAGGTCCCCTCGGGGACCCCTGCGGATCTTGACTTGCGTCAAGATCCGCTAACAAAACAAGGGAAAGTGAAGGCGAAACGGTATGCATTTGCAGATTCACCGGTTAAGCCAACACCGTACCTAAACCCAAGCCCGCTAGTCGAAGAAACAAGAAAGAAAACGAAAACGAGTAAGACTACGCGGAAGAAGATGCAAGCTCCAGAGTCGGAAGAAGACCAAGCTGGATCCAGGTCAAGCTGGTCCGACAAGGACCTCGAGTTTGTGTATCGCCACCAAGCTCTACGCGATTTCCTGCATCAAGATCCTGTCATGCGGATCCTGAATCCACGACAGATCGAAGATCCAAGGGAACCGGTGGGAGCACCAACGAAAACGGCGAACAAGTTGGTGGCAGTCAAAGATCTATTACGTCTGCTTACGGAGTCAGGCATCGTAGCTGGTGTGTTCGACGCAGAGGATATCTTCGAGCTAGACCTGGATCTCATAGTATCCGCGACGCGGGACCTCTTTGCCAGAGTTAAGTCCATCACCTGAGAAAGGTCGCGTACTATGGATCCAGTGTCGTCGCCGAGGATCAGCCAAGCTGCGTCCTCAAACTACGAATCCGCCGCTGAGGATGAGTCAGACACGTCGTCCGAACCACGACGCATGACTTTAGGACCCTCCGGGGCATCCATGCTGGAAGCGCGGGCGAGGATCCGAGGACAGGAAGCCCCTGTGAACGTGAAAGCTCGGGATCCAGTACGCCCTACGCGTGATTTGACGCAATCCAGCCAGGATCGAGCCAGATCCGGCAAGAAGCCAGTGGGATTATCGTCAGATCAGGCTCGAGGTAATCACCTCACGGATCCAGTCCCGCCAGTGGACCAGACGGCAACAGGCTCTTCCGACACTTCCTCGGGCACCCTGCAGCGGCACTTTGAAGCTGCGATGAATCGCTTCCTGGCCGAACAGGGCATGAGAGCGCCCGTGCCACAAGTGCAAGTGCTCCACGAACATGGAGCACGGGACGTGGAGATGGAGTCAGTAGAGGGGGACAACTCCCATGATGAGTTCGACCCAGACGATCTGGATGGCCCATCCACTTCGGCAGCCGTGGTAGCAACGGCCACAGCCGGGGCAGGTGGATCGTCCATGATCCAGAGGGTACGGATCTCAGCTATATCGGACTTGAAGGAGTTCACGGGCAAGGATCAAGATGAGGACCGAGCGAGAACATGGATCAGCAAAGTCAAGTCGGCCCTCATGAGAGATCAAGCGTCGGATGCTGAGAAGTGTCTGACCTTTGCGGATCTGCTAGCGGGGCCAGCCAGGAACTGGTATCGGCAGCTGGGCAGATCAACCAGGAACAAGTGGCCAGATTGCTGCGCAGTTTCCAGACCCAGTACTGTGGATTAGGAGTGTCGGTGGCACGACAATACTACCATGCTCGCCGCAGATCGGATGAATCCCCGTTGGAATACCTACATCGACTAAATGTGGCCGGTCTACGGGCCAAGTTGAAGATCAAGGATGGGGGATCCAAGGTACTGCGGGAACACGTGGATCATTTCATCGAGACGTTGGGAGATGTGGATCTGGCCGACAGGCTGACCCTGTTACGACTTCCCGACGCAGACGAGCTTGAAGAAGTACTGCGGGCGGTGGATCGCGCGAAACACCGCCAGAAGAAGGCGGCGGTCGGATCCGGCAAGTATCGCCAAAAGGCCCCGACGCCCACGGCCCCAGCTCGACGTGTCCACCAAGTCACGGCGCCTGACTCAGGAACTGAGTCAGGATCCGACGGCTCGGACTCCGACCCTGAAGATTACCGTCGAGTCTGTCTCACTGCGTCCAACGATCGAACGGCGAAGACAGGAGACAACTCTCGACCGGGGGATACCGTACCCGGGGACCGTGGGATGTACAGATCCCGAGATCTCATGGACGGGGCAGCACAAGTCAGGTGTTCGCAGTGCGGATCCCGGAAGCACACTGAATCTGGATGCTGGAAACATCTGGTCTGTGAGAAGTGTGGCAAGAAAGGTCATCCCGGGGATCATTGCTTCTACGTGTGTCGCGGGTGTGGCGAGATTCACGACGTCGGCAAGTGCCCGATGGAAGAATTCTACAACCAGATCCGCCAATGGTTTGATCCAGCCAAGCACCGAGGGATGTTGCCGGAAGTGGCAGAGAAGATGTTAAACTAGGACGCTCGCCGGGTTTGAATCCGGTACGAGCCGAGCGTTCTAGGTACTGCATTTATGCATTTGTGAACAAGACATCGCTAGATCCAGGTAGCAGGACCCTAGATCCAGTCGATAATACACGTGATCTACATGAAGTGTCAGTTGCCAGGGTCTCTAGTTTGCGCCAAGTGGACGAGTTTTCCAGATCCAAAGTCTCTTCTACCCAGTAGTGCATGTGTCGAGACTCAAGGCTGTCAACGAAATTCAACAGTCGACCGAACACTCGGTTGGTTACT